TTCCTACCTGAACTAGTACCGTCTTTATATCAAAACACTCTAACCATGAATTGTTCCTTCTTCCTATAGCCATTTTTTCATGTAGGAAGAAGGAACAGTTCTTAGTTGAAATGCATTTTAATACAAACACAATGATAGTTCAGGTAGAAAAAGGAAACAACTGATATAAAACTCGCGAAAAGATGATGATTCATGTGTTTTTTGACCATTAACTCGGAAAGAAAAAAGAATTTTCACGTCCTTGGCTCATTTAGACGAAATGTTGACACAATTCAACAGTTATCATGTTAAAAAATTCATTCTTTTTCATTGTTTCTTAGTGAAGCTTCAAGAAAAGTTACCTAAAGAGTTGCCAAGCTGTAGACAAATCAGGATCAGCTGATGGAAAACCATTTTTAGCTATTGGATTTCTATAAACAGGACCAATAGATGGCTCTCCATTTTTCCCTTCTTTTCCTTCCTCAACCTTCAAACCAAACTTGCTCATTTTCTCCAATTCTTCTCTTACTCAACTCAAACTAGATGGTCCAAAAAGGGTTTATAGTGTATCCACTTTCACTTCCAGCAAACAAGTTCTGGAAGAAATGGCACAAAATAGACCTTGCATGAGAGGAGTAACGAATGTAATTAATGTTTCAACTGCCAAGTTTGGTACAAGAAACAGAGTTATTAGTCTTATCAATATTAAAACTCAAATGATTGTAACTTAATTTAAGTGACTAAACCACAAGCTTAGTTAGCTACATGGTTTAGTTAAACAGGAGGATAAAAAGTGAAGTTGGAATTTTGATGATATCTCAATTTAAATGTCTTTAGTTTGACTAGGCACCAAATTTCAAAAACAAAAAATATATTTTAAATCTTGGTCCAGTAAAATATAAAAAAAAATGTTTTTTAAAAGTGACACTTAAATTGATACAGAGGGAATATTATTTTACAAGACCCATAGAAATCATACCTAATGGACGTAAGTAAATGGTATTTGCTCTTTGTTGCTTGTTTGTAAATTTTGTCACGAACAAGCATTGTGATAGTGTGGTAAGTACTATTTCATCTTTAATTAGAGATCTCGAGTTTAAATCTCTTGAGTATAGAATCGTCTTTATTAGAGAGCGTATCGGAGAAGTGAAAAAAATAAAAATATCTTGTGGGGTGGTTGGTTGGTTGGTTGGTTGGCTGCAGGGGAGGTAGCTAAAAGAATGCAGCAAGGAGGATGTAAGAAATGAGAATTTAAAGATCACATGAATGACAAGGGGGCCATAATAAACGCACCTAAAAGGCACAACTCTCTTTTTCTTTCCATAGTCTAACCTTGTGTTTGAACCATAGAAAAATCAACGCATCTGAACATAGGCGTATTCAGAATTTATATATATGATGAATATGATATTTAAAATCCTACTGTTGTACCTATTGAACTTTTTGAATTATGGGTTACCATTTGTTGAATTATTAGTAAATTTTTTAAGTAAATACATATACTCTTGTATATAAAAATATTGAACTTGTAGCAAACTTGTCATATCTACGAGTTTTGGCTAAACTATTAATGGAAATTAGCAACTTGATATAGTGTAATGACGTGTAGAGGCAAATTTATAGCAATTTAAAGTAATATCTATATATTTTCTTTTTTAATTTTTTTTTTAGTATTATGGTAGAAAAAGTAAAATTTTCATATAAGAGAAGAGAATATTAGAGGGAGAAAGTGTTGAGTTTTAAAGTTGTGAACAGGAAATGAAGGGTTGTGACTCTCTTGAAGAGTTGTAACTATGCCGAAGGGTTGTGATCTTTATGAAAGATTGTGTCCTTTCTAAAGGGTTGTGACCGTTCGAAAGGTTATGTCTTTTTCAAAGTGTTGTGACCTTTCTGAAAGGTTATCTTCTTTCCAAAGGGTTGTGACCTTTACCCTTTGTTGACTATAAATAGAGAGGTTTTCTCTCATTTTTCGGCATTGAATTCTTCCCTTCTCTTGCATATATTTCTTGCAAAACAAAATCGATCAATCGTGTCTGTGTGTGTGATTCATTGCTATCATTTTGAGTTCGTTGAAATTATTGAAGTTTGAGGTACCACTACTTCTTTAATGGTTAATCCATTTTATCTTGGGAGGAATTATTCTACAACCTCGGGTACTTGAGGGGATTAAATTTCTTAAGGACACACAGTGGGTTCTATGGACTCGGATAGTTCTTTTGTTTTTTCTTTTCATCTTTTATTATTTCTTGTTTGTTAATCTGAATACAAGAGATAACAGAAAGATTGACGCATAGAGTACTATATATCTAAGAAAAATTAAATGTATTCTATATTTTACTGGAAAAAAATATTAGAAGACATCAATTATAAAAATTTATTAATAACTTTGCATTAAATATAACAATAAAACCTCTATTCGATTTAATTTTAGACCATCAATATGTTTGACCCGCTCCTGAATCCGCATTAAATCCGCCTAACGACGGGAACGGACTTGCACCGTCTATGTCAATTAATTGAGTTTGGCGTAGTTAGGTGTGAAGGAAGTTGGGAACAGCCAAGATTTTTGAGGCACCTTTAATTATTTGGTCTTTGAATAGTATATATTGAAAGTGCACTGTATACATGCAGGGCCGGATTTAGAGGGTAGAGATGAGTTCATTTGAACCTTTTCGATAAAAAATTATAAGATATATATAATTTTGTATATAGAGATGTTGAACCTCCTAAACATAATATTAGAGTTTGTTTGCATGAATTTCAAGCAATATATTTTTATTTATTAAACTCTATAAGTGAAAATTTTGAGTCCACTACTATATACGTGATCTCAAAAGGAGATATATGTATTAATGAAGGGTACATTGAAATAACAGAGAGGTAGTTGATCCGTATAGAGATATTTAGGGATATTATTGCTGCTACAGTGCTATCTTGGTAATTAGTATGGTATCATTTTATATGATATTATTTTGTTTGTTTTATTTTAAAAAGAATAATTTGTTTTGATATTTTTTTTAAATTCAAATTAAATTTTACATGTAATGATAGTTTTTATAATTATAGAAATATCATTACACATATTAAATGACATGTTCTTAGTGTACATTAACTAGAATTGAATAGTAGTGGGTGTACTAGATGCTTGATGGGTTTGTACCCTTGGTCCCCTCTTTTCTTCACATTTACTTCTTCTTGAATGATCCATTTTGCTAATTGTTATCGTTTCAAAAATATTTATATGTAATTTAGATAAATATTATGGGGATGAGTAGTGGCAGAGCCACTTATACTTGAAAGGCATCAATCGATATTCTTTTGTTAAGAAATTATTTTCCAAAAAAGATTGACTAATCAAACATGAAAAGGTTGAAAAATACCAAACACACCTTAAATCTTCATCCTTTTTTCTTGTCATATCACTTCTTGATATTAATATCATTTTGACAATTATATCAATTCGTGTTTTACAAGTAACTTAGAAAGAAATTTATAACAAAGAAAAGAAAAAAGTGTTTAGAAATTGAAAACTTTGGGTATTTATTGTTTTTCACATTAATATTGGTTTAACAAAGCAACAATCTTTTTCAATCAAATAAGGAAAAATTACTTAAATACACAACACTTCTTTATATATTCTCAATATTTCCCTACTCTTTTACTAAAATACAAAAATCCCTTATTTTCCCCCAATTCAACTTAACCGGATACTTTATTAGTTTAAGTATCCGCCCGTTATTAATTAAAGTATCCGCGCTGCTATATTATGCATCCGCCCGTTAATTAAGTATTCGTGCTGCTAACAACTTAATAATTTAAGTATCCACTCGCTATTAATTAAAGTATCCGTGCTGCTATATTATGCATCCGCCCGTTAATTAAGTATCCGTGTTGCTAACAACTTAATAATTTAAGTATCCGCCCGTTATTAATTAAAGTATCCGCGCTGCTATAGTAAGTATCCACACTGTTATATTATGTATCCGAAAAACACTAAAAAAAGGGATTTTTGGTAATTAATGAAAGAGTAGGGAAATGAAGTAATTTCTTTCTTATACTATGTCATTTGCCTAATTTTTACATCAAATAACGTACCCATTCTTGTACGGCATTCAGCGCTACGTGTTTAAAAATCCGGACATAATTGATTACTATCTCAACTTGCAATAATATACATAAAATAATACTCTTTTTTGAATGTCTATAATGTTATTAAATATTTGTCAAATAGTAAGAAACATGTCAATTTTTTTAAAACTAGTTAAAAAAGAAAAATATGTCATATAAGCACTAACATTTAAGAAAAGTTGGAAAGAGTAGCTGTAGCAGTATAAATGAGTATGCAGTTGAAATCTTTAACTAACTAATTTATTGTGATGATAATGAATTTATCCAAGTTTTCATTAATTGTGAGCCACCAAGAGAATTGATGATACCCAACAAGTCTATCCAAGATTTAACTTGTATGGGCACCTATCGACTAATTCTATTGCCTGTGGATTTAACAACCACCGCAAGTTAATACTGTGTTTGAAATCGTGTCACGTAAAAAATGAGAAATTTAATTTTATTGTTAGATATTGCTGTAAAAAATAAAGGTATTTCAGACAAATAGGTTGACATCAAGGGAATTTTAGATCCGAAGGTAAGCGAAAGGTATTTTTGTACCAAATAAGATATTTTAGGCCCTTTTTCGTTCGGTAGTAAAATATGTTAATTTCTCCTAAAAAGATCTCTTCAACAGCAAAGCAGTTTGATTCCATAACCAAGCAAAAGGAGTGAACAAACAACCTAAATGTCCACACTGACGACAATTGCTCAGAAAAGAGCAGATTAAAGGTCCAAGAGATAAATTTCAACAATCTATACAAAAGAAACAGAAACTAATGTTGAAGAGACTATCAAGTGAATAAAAGATAAACAGAAGCACAAACGACTACGGCATCATCACATAACTATTTCCTCTTACTGGAGGAAACCCATGGTTAAACCAGTTTCCAAAGTCATTTTGAACCTTGAGGTCCACGAAAAGTTGTCTAAAGCTTAAACTATTAGACCATCCGAAAACATGTACTATTCCAACAAAGTTATCTAGACAGGACATATACACATTTGGCATGATAGCCAAATGGTTGACAAAACACCTACCCAACTACGATACTAGTTTTGATTAAATAGCAGCAACCCATCATATGCTTCAACAGAAACCATCAACAGTGACAAACTGGCTGGCAGCATTTACAGAGGTTTACTAGCAAGACTGACAAAATCAGTACGTGCCTTCTTTGTTCCTGCTTGAATGCCCATTAACTTAGACCTTAAACCATCAATTTCACGGTCCTTAGCCTCCTTCCTCGAAGTAGCCAGGGACAGTTTATCCTGTAATTCTGCAATTTGTTTATTGATCTCTTTAATCTCTCCATCAAAACGTTCTCTGTCCATATTATGCGTGATGATCTGGCTATCAATATCTGCAACCTGACTTTCAAGCTTTTCCTGCTTATCTTTCATCGACAGTAACTCAGTTAGACGATCTCGTACAGCTTGCACATTAAATCCATGGGTTTCCAAGTCGGTGAGAGTCTCCATGATTTCCTCAAAGGTGCTTCTAGGATCGTCATAGTGCAGTCTAGAAGTCCTCTCTACTATGCTTAAAAAAGTTACCATATAACCTATAGCTTGTCCTTCACGGGAGCTCTCTTTAGAGTGTTCCAATGGAGTGAAATGTGGCTTCTGAGGAATCCTCCTGAATATATCCATGGCTTCAATAGTTGACCAAAGTAGTGTATTTTTCACAAAAGGCAAGCTCTGTGTTTCAACTTGGGTTGCTGGAGTCCCATTGACAGGAGTTTGCATGGGCATGTCTTGTTTCTCCCTCATCTCAGCACATCGCTTCGGGCTACATGCAGGTGAAACTCCTGGAGGAGAAAAATATCATCAAAAAACAGCCAGAACAGGAAGCAACTAATGAAAGGTCAGTAGCTTACTTGATCCATCAATAGAAGTCGGAGCCTGTATTTCTTCAAACCACTTTGCAAGGGGTTGATCATCAAATCCATTGAAGGGTATTTCAGCAAGAACTTCCTCACCATTGGCTGCCCTGTTTGATTCAGCAGGTTTCACTCCAGAAGAGTCGGCAGAACCTACAGAAGGCCAATGGGAGGTTTTGAAAAATGAGAAAAGGGATGAGAAACTTAACAAAGAGAAGTGCAGCATATAAGTTGTTGCTCTTTGTTGCATCATATGAACTGTGTTCTAAACAATCTGCATACGGCATTCAAAATCATGCACCAAATTGCCATCATCATCCCCCCAAACTGTGACAACTACTACAGAAGCCATTACTCACCTTGAGCTTGAGATTCAATATTTACACTTTTTTGCTGTCGTTTTTCCCTCTTCACATAATGCTTTTCATGCTGCTGGGACGAAGACTGAACTGCTTTCTCATTTGACATTTTTTTTTGAGTCATCTTCTTCGTCCTGCCTCTTTTTCTGCTGTGCCCCAATTGAACCTCAAGTTGCTCCTTACCAACTTCATTTTCCATAATTGCAAGCTCGACATAACCTGAACTCTCATCTTTTGAATGATCTCCACTTGGTTCCATATCTACAAAAATAAAGCAGAAGACTTTCATGAGAAAACTGAAAATCAAATTCCACATCCAATTGAAAATCCAAGGAATGTACACAAATACCTGCTAGGGTTATTAAAGGTAGTTTCCTAGCTGGTCGTCCCCTTCTCCTTTTCTGACTACTGCCCGCTCCATCACCTAAGTGTTTGGTATCCTAGAGAAAAGACAAAATCAGAACTACAAAGCGATTTGAAAAAACCAATTAAAGATGATAAAGTTAGAACTACCAAAGCACACAACAACAAAGAGAATAGCTCGAGGGATATTATAGCCTTTGAATCTCTGCTTACCTGTACATCATCTATAGCAGCATCAATCTGCTTCTGATCTCCAATAGACTCCAAAGATTCATTATTAATCAGACGAGATCTTTTAGCCTTTGAGCTCCTAACCTTAGTACACTCCAACCCTATGATGACAGGAACATCAGTTTCTTTACGTGTAGAGCGTTTTTGAGTAACTTCAGCAGCATTTTCTATTGCAATACCCTTGTTACCTGTTGAGCAGCTCTAGAATTGTATTTAGATTTCAAAAGTACAATCAAGGTACCAAGGAAACAAATAATACCTCTTGAAGGAGATTTTAGGCCTTGCAACTTCTCAAGTGCCCCACTCTTTTTTACACCAAGTTCCTGACATCTCTTTCTCTGCAAAAAATTGGATGTGTGCACTAAGAATTTTTTCTTGTCTTTTTTTGGAGAAGTTAGATGAATGTACTGAGTAGGAACTCTCTGATTGACACAATTGGAAGAACCATATTGTAAATAAAGAACTTTCTTTGACCTTTCACAACCCAATTAGTGGTGAACCCAAGCCAAACCTCAGAAGGAGCAGCTCCGCTTGAAGGCAAAGTTTTTTGGCTCCCCAAAATGCACAAATTGGTCAGGCTCAAGAGAAATTTTCAAAGAGAGCACAAGTCACAACTAAAACAAGAACCCAAGAGGTAAAGTCTGAAGAGAGAGCAATCTAAAAAATCAACAAGAAGCAAATACTCATTTACAATTCCTCATTTGCCTGTAACTACTGAAAAGGATGAACAAAGGGAAAGTAGGGGGAGCAAGAAGCAATAACTTCAGCTCACACCAAATTCATTGGATTTATAGACCCTCCAGCAAGAGAGTAAAGCCATAGCAATCACCCCGCAGAAGAAACCTTCTGCTAGGTATATAATTATGTTTGGAGTCTAGGAACCTTTGATCTAGATTAGAAGATGGAGACTGCAGGTAGTTAAGTATCCTTCAAATGGATGGAGGATAGATGGAAGGGATGAAGAGAAAATTAAAAATAATAAAACGGAACAATCAAACCTTAAGAAGCAGCTCAACTTTCATCATTGCAGTAGGCTGAAAACAATCAATTAGGTGAGTTCTAAGTAAATGTTGAGAGTTATTGGCCTTAGATTGGGTCAACTGACTTATTCTTTTAGATAGTTGGAGGCAAAATAGTAAGCTTATGTACTACTATTAGAGTAGTTAAACCAGTATGCTATTATAGTCAGGTAAGAAAGGAAATGCAAAAAAAATAGATAAGCTGAGCACATTGAACATTCATGTTCCCGAGATTGGCTCGTAGGTTTGTTGGGGGTATCTCCAGCTTGAAGGGTTATGAGCAAAGCCAGACCCAATTAGCTCACAAGTGGTCAGACTAACTTGCACCTTGCTTCAAATAGAGTATTGGTACAAACAGGTCAGTTAGACACGATTCATCATCTGCCACGCTACTACTAAAACAGCATATAAGTTTATGCTTCAATGCTGAAGTGAATACTACGAGAAACATTTTCGCAAACAATTAACAGTTCATTTAACACAATATTATAAGAGATGATGTTGCACAGGACACAACTAGCTTTACTTTGTCCTTCTAGCAACACCTCACATTCCTTTCTTTATCAATTACAAGACCTCAAACCAGAGAGGTGGCTAATGGAGAAACAGATTCCTCCCCATAGTCGGAAGGTATTTTTATTGATCAAAAGCGCAAAAAAGTGACAAGTTTCATGTAGAGTGAAGCACAATGCAGAAATGAAGAGCACACTTCTTTGAATTAAGTGCACCATTTATGGACAATGAAAAGATACCCTACACATAGGAATTTGTTTAGTACTCCCTCCGTCCCAATTTATGTGGCACCATTTAATTAAGCACAAAGTTTTTATTTAAGAAATAAGAGAAGATTTAGTTAATTGGTATAGTGTTAAGTGGGATCCAATAAGGATAAAATGGGGATAATGTCATTAAATAGTTGTCACATAAGGAAGGTGACATTCATTTTTGGACGAACTAAAAAGGAAAGGGTGCCACATTAATTGAGACAAGAGAGCACCATATTAAGAAAATTTCAAATAAAATAACTAATTTTAGCATTCAATATTCAATAATGCTGATTATCAATCAAACTCGTCAAAGTTGACATTCAAAAAATAACATCATTATTTGAAGAGCATGGCTTCACCCATGAAACACACCAACACACTTCGCATCGCTTAATTTCTTTAAGAAACAAGGTGATGGTTTTTAATAGCACTGATCTCCACACACACGATGCAAGAAAAGATTTGGCAGTGAAAAATAACTTACAGTTCTGTTCTGCCAAGAACGGTTATGGGGTTGCTCATCTCCAGCTAAAGGTGCTGATATCTTCATTTCAGCATATTCAGATTTTGGGCTGGACTGACTGAAGGGACTCTTTGTACGGGGTTTTTTAGAAGGCTTTGAACTAAGAGTACATGCTTCAAGTGACATGTCTTTGGGCAGCTCTGGGGGCTGTGGAGATGCAGCATCACAATTGGGACACGCATTTTGCAATGTCTCCTCTGGTGCAACCTCATCAGTTGAATGTGGCTCATTAAGATCCTCTATAAACTTAATAGAATGTGGTGTTTTTTCCTCCGAGATCTCATTCATAATGCTTGATCTGCCAAGTGGAACATCCTTTTTTGGAATACTAGTGTCAGTGCAGTTATTGCTTCCGTTAGTTTGACAATCTGGAGGAATTGGAATGTCCTGAAAGTATATTTGGGTAAGTTTTAGCAATACTGAAGTAGATAATACTGAAGGGCCTCTCGAACAACACTGTATTTCAGCTTTGACCACACTAACAATGTAGGTCAAAGATCTTGAATCAGAAAGTCAACACAAACCTCACTCTAACTATTTAGCTTAATTGATACCATGTACTTTGCATACACAGTATAAAGTCTGATCAATTGAGAGCATTATCACATAAACAATTCTTAGCTCAAGTTATATTCACAATCAGATACATAATTAAGAAAGTGAAATAACTCAACAATGAATTAGACAAGGAAAAGACAAAACAACTTATAAAGCAAATGCACACGTAAGTAAATTTTGAGGAATACCCAATGACAGTAGAAGAAGATCATTATTTGTCTTTTGTTATACATATACTTTTTCAGAGGAAAAATTAAGCTAATTTGTACATCTTGCTCAAAGTCAAGGCAAATCTGATGGCCACATCCTGATACAGGGAATAGCTTGATAGGCACGATGCCAACTCCCAATGTAACAACAAAGAAAGGATTAAACCTTTCACAACTTAAGAATAAAGAACATCTCTTCAGAGTGTCATATGTCAAATACAGATGCATGGACTGCTTTCATATTTCAACTTAAATGAACACATTTCACCTGGATTGGTGTGGTTTATTACTTGGGGAAGAGGGGAGGTGGCTGCAAACTAAAACTGGTGCTTTGCTATTTACAACTTACAGCAGCAGTAGGATTATATAAGGCCAGCAATAAAACCACTTCCACCATTAGTATTATTATTTTGATACAAGTAAAACCACCACCACCACTATGACCACCAGGAAAGAAAGAACAAAGTAGTAGTCTGATTCCATAAAAGTAACAAGACCTGAAAATCAAAGGAATTCAAATGGACCATACCCGAGAGGTAGTAAACCATTGCCCATCTTTCCAATCCATATGAGGTCTCAAATCAGAGTCATTCAACTCCTTCTCCATGTTTGTGTGCTTAAAAAAGACAATATACCTACTATCAGCAAGCTCTCTAGTGATAACACCACTCCACCAGGCAAGATCATAAAATGCATCCACTTTTTCCAGCAAATTGAATTTCTTCCTTTTGATATGTGGTGGTAAAGGACGGATATGGAAGGAATCAACTGTTACTTTGTCAATAGATGCTTTTTTGTCGATTGTCCGATACCTCTCCACCAAAAAAGAGCCATTTTCTAAATGCTCAAGGACTTTGGATGGAAACCAAGCATCACGGCGGTCATCTCTATCGAACGATACTTCCACATTCTTTCCAACACTAAACATCAATGAGTCTGTTCTCTTTCGACAATTAGACATGACAAGATAAGAGGACAATTATAGAAAACAAGAATTCACGCGGAAAGAAACCTTACACAAGAAAAGCTAAGAGCTTTAAGTAGAAATGAAAACAATGCGGAAAAATTAAAGATGAAACAGAGGGTGTTTGGTTAAATTGAATGTTTGGCATGATCAAAGATGTTTTGCTGGAAAATGAATGCCTAAATGAAATCATTTTACTACCTTGAGATGTGAAACCTATTTCTCTCTAAATAAAGAGAAACTTACCTTATTACTACTCTAACACAAAAGTGTTACCAAAACACAATATATTGCCCTATAAATACCCCATTTTTCTACCCCACTCACCAGAAATACATGCAAGAAAAAATTATCTGTACCCACAACACCCAAAGACAACAAATTGCTGAACCCTAATAGAAAAAAACATACTGAAATGAAGAAACACACAAAAGAGACGGATACGAAATGATAATACCTGCTTCCCGGGTAAGACCCAATTCCCTTTGACCCATTGTTTATGAAGTCTCAGCTCGGAAACCCCAAATTCAAGTACGTCCGGTGGGTTACTGAAAGTCACCTGGTACCTAAAATCGTCAAGAACCTTTGTAATAACACCAGTCCACCAACCGTCTTTGTAAGACGCATCAACAACGTCGTGTAACTCAAAACTCTCAACAATTTCAAGCGGAGGCACCGGTCGAACAAAAGAAACATTCACCAACTCCCTCAAGGGTTTGGACCCAATTTCATCAGCAAGTATACTCCGGTACTCAACTAAAACTTTCTTCTTGTTTGAACCGTAATTAAGGATTGTTCCGTCAAACCAAACTCCCTTAAACCCTTCTTCGTCGGAAGTAACTTCAACGGTAGAGCCCTTAGTGAGATATTCCTGCTGCTGCTGCTGTCTAGTTCTTGTACCACCACGCATATTGTATTTTAGGGCTTTTGTCAAAATCCGAAAGGGAATTCAAGCCCTAACATGTTTAATTCCCAATTTCCCCTTTTCTTTTTTCCATTTTTGACGTCATTTTTTTTTTCTGAAATTTTAACAGTTGGCGCCAAAGGCGGGAAGGAACAAACAATCTGCCGATATTTCCTATGATCTTTTTCCCTTATATAAGCTAAGAGCTTTGTTCGATCTGTTTTATTTGTCATGATTTATTAATTAGAAGATGGTAATTTAAATTAGTAGAAATGACAAGTAAAATGGATCGAAGGGAGTAATTGGTAAATACTCTATAAATTTTACTTTTGCTTACTTTATTTTTTTAAAATTAAGAGATTAATTATGGTTTTTTTTTTAATGCATTTATTACTATATTTAATTTTATCTTTTTTTTAAGAGATATGTCAAACTAGACATAAACGAGTAAAAATAAATAGATAACATAGTTGGATAAGTTTGACGATATTACTAAAATCTTTTTCCTTATAATGAAAATAATGATTTGAGAGGTTGCTTCAGTGTGATGATGATAAGTAGTTGATATGTATAAAATGTTAAGAATTTTAATTTTGTAAATATGTAGTTTATGTATTTTGATAAGAGTAAAGAGTGCTTTGATGATATTTTCTAAAGTTGTTTTCCTTGTAAAAGAATTTAAGAACTCACTTTTGTGTGTGTGGTGGTAAATAACTGATAAATTTTAGATGTTAACAATTAATTTTATAAATAAATAGTATATATTTTGATGAGAATAACTAGTGTTTTGGTGATGTATTTTATAATTTATTTCCTTGCAAAAGAAAAGATCTAAATTTCTCTTTTGTGTGTCACTTCGATGTGGGATGATAAATAGATGATAAGTTTTTAATGTTGAGAATTTATTTTATAAATAAGTAGAAGTAACAACGTTTTGACGATATTTTTTTTAGAATCTTTCTTCTTATTTAAAAAGACTGAGAACTCAATTTTGTGCAGAGTGGCAAATAGATGGTAAGTTTTAAATGTTGAAAATTGATTTTATAAATAAGTAGTTATGTATTTTAATTTGATAAAAATAACTACTGGTTTAATGATATTTTCTATAAATTTTTTCCTTATTTAAAAATATTGAGAGCTCATTTATGTGTGTGATGGTAAATAGCTAATTAGTTTTAAATGTTGAAAAATTATTTGTAAATAGGTAGTTACATACTTTGATAAGTTACTAATGCTTTGACGAGATTTCCTATCATCTCTTTCCTTTTAAAAAAGTTTGAGAGATCATTCATGTGTGGTTAATATTTAATAAGTTTAAATATTGAAAATGATTTTATAAATGAGTAGTTATGTATTTTGATAGAAATAGCTAATGTTTTGGTGATATTTTCTATAATATTCTCTCTTATTAAAAGAAAAAATAAAGATTGAGAGTTCACATATGTGCGGTGATAATAAATATTGTAGTGATAAGTTTCAAATGTTGAAAATAAATTTTATAAAAATGTAGTTATGTACTTTGATAGAAGTAACTAATGTAGTTATGTACTTAATAGAAGTAATTAACTAACAGTTTTGTGCCACTTTCGTGCGTGATGGTTAATAGTTAAACTTTAAAAAAAATTAAGAAATAATTTTATAAATCAGTAATTGTATATTTTGATAGAAGTAATTAGTGTTTACGATGTTTCCTAAAAACTTTTTTTTAACAAAAAAATAAAGAAAGATTGAAATCTCATATTTGTGTCCACAAAAACTTGAGATCTCATATTTGTGTCCACACAAATTTCTTTGCATGAAAGTAAATACTAGTTTACAAGTTTTAAATGTAAAAATAAATAAATTTACAATTAAATAGTATACATTTTTGATGAAATAACTAGTGCTTTTGAAATATTTCCCAAAATCTTTTTCCTTATAATAAAAGATCTCAAGTTCCCATTGTATGTGTCACTTTCGACCATGGCGTTAAATAATTGATAAATTTTAAATGGAGAGAATTTATTTTATAAAAAAATAATTATGTATTTTTAAAAAGTAACTAGTGCTTTAGTGATATTTCCTAAAAGAACTTTCCTTATAAAAAAATATATTGAGAGCTTAAATTACTTTTGTGCATGATGTAAATAGCTAATAATTTTCTAATGTTGAAAAATAATTTTATAAATAAATAGTTATGTATTTTGATGAAGTAACTTGTGCTTTGGCGATATTTCCTATAATCTTTTTCCTTATAAAAGCGTTAGCTCAATTATGTGCATGTAGGTAAATAATTCATAAATTTTAAATATTGAAAATTGATTTTACAAATAAAGATTTATTTATTTTGATAAAAATAACTAGTGCTTTGGCGATATTTGCTACTGTAAAATCTCTTTCCTTATGAGAATAAGTTATAGAGCTAACTTCGTTGTGAGATGGTAAATAGATGATAAGTTTTAATTCAATATTTTGATAGAGGTAGTCAGTGATTTGGAGATATTTTCTAGAATCTCTTTCCTTATAATGAAAAAAATTGAGAATTATTGTGTGTGCCACTTCCGTGCGTGATGGTAATTGTAGCTGATAAATTTTATAAGTATAGCATTAATTTTATGAATAAATAGTTAATTTTATGGATAAATAGCTATCTGTTTTGATAGAAATAATTAGTGCTTTAACGAAATTTTCTACTATAATTTTTCTCCTTATAAAAAAAGTTTGAGAGCTCACTTCTATGAATGATGGTAAATAGCTGATAAGTTTTAATTATTGAGTTTACATATAAGAAATCGTATATTTTGATAGAAATAACTAGTGTTTTGGCGATATTTTCTAGAGTTTCTTTCCTTATAAAAATCGAAAGCACACCTGTGTGCGTGATACTAGAAGTAACTAGTGTTTTGACGATATTTCTTTGATTTTTTTTATATAAAAAATAAATAATATCTCACTTTTGTGCATGATTGTAAATAAAGGGTAAGTTTTAAATATTCAGAATTGATTTTATGTATAAGTATCTATCTATTTTTGATAGAAGTACATAGTGCCTTGAGTCTTTGTTTGGGTGGTTTATTGTAAACCATTGATAAGTTTAAAATGTAGAGAATTATTTTTATAATAAATAATTGTGTATTTTTAATAAAAGTGCTAAAATCGATAATAAACAATTGGAAAAGAAAAAGTCGATAAATTACTTTTGTTAAAATATTCTTAACATTGTAGATTCATAAAGAAAATAAGAAATGACAAATTTGGAAGGGAGAGAATGTTAAGGATTTTATTTTGATAAAAGGTATTTTATGAATCAAAGTATATTGTAAATTACATATATTGACGGCAGTGATTTTTTTTTACACTAATCACTACTCATATTATCATTTTTACTAGATGATCGATAAATTTGATTGTAAAAAATATATTTAAAATTACTAATTAAGTGATATTTTTATATAAAAAAAGATAGTTGAAAAAAATCTAGTCTAATAACAATAATGATGCATGGGATTCTCTTCCATAAAGCTCAGGTTTCTTCTGAGTGTGAACAAGATATATTTTTCAGACGATAATAAGACATTTAAGATGGAGTGAAAAAAGAATTTTTTTTGCACTTCTCATTGAATCATTGGTCCTAAAAATGTCTTTCCCAAAGATAGAAAAACATGCATCGATAAAGGGTCCATTTTACACTGATCTCCGTCATAATTTATACTCCTTTCATTTTTACTTCTCACATTTTGACTTAGCACATTTATTAAGAAAATAATGATTGATATGATTATTTTATCATATTATCCCCTATTAAATGATCTCTTGAAAAATAAATATTTAATGTTGAGAGTAAAACATAGATTTTTTTTTATTCATATTAATTATTACTCCATCCGTTCTTTTTTAGTTGTCACAATTTTCTTTTTGAAAGTCAAATCATATGAATTCTGGCTAACTTTTAAAATGTATTTTTTTATCATATTGATATGAAAAAAAATGTAATTTATAATAATTTTCTTTTATAATTTTAAAATATCTAAATTTTTATTTTCAATATTAAATTAATATAATATAATTTAATTTAATTTTAAAAATTAATCAAATTGACCCTCGAAAAATACTAAAAAGGAGTAATGAGTTTGCTCTAGCTAGCAACTTGCTAATACTCATTAGTCTTGGATATGCTTAAATATTTTGTAGTCATTGGTTTAAGTTTAAGAGCCTTTGAAAAAATTAAATGAAGATATGTTTTGAGTTTCTATTATGGTTGGCCAAATACATCGACGATCATTATAGAGTACTTTATTCGTTTTATTTGGACACTTTATTTCAATTATTATTTTAATTTAATATTCTAATATACAAAGTGGAGTTTGAAGAAGAGGAGTGACTCTTATTTTACCACTCTCTCTTCAAGGTAAAGAGTATATTGATATACCGCGAGTTTACGGTATTTCTAATACATTTCACTTACAAGTTGTGTGTGTCTAGCGTTTTATTTGTATTAGTTTTCATGTGTTTTTATCATATTTTGCAGGAAAGATGTTCAGGCGCGGAATTAAAGAGACATCTGACATAATTGCAGAAAAGGGCATCTACGGACCGTAGATTCATTGACGCTCCGTAGATGGTAGTCGTAGATCAGCAGCCAAGGCATGGAAGGCAAATCAGGGAAATCTGACCAAGTGTGGAACCACGGTGCCCATTGACGGTCCGTAGATTAATCTACGGACCGTACTGTTGATTCATAGATTGATACTGCGAGGGTTCCAGTACCTGATTTTTGAAGATTCAAAGTGTGGAGCTACGGAAGGGGATTGACGGACCGTCGATCTACGGTCCGTACTGCAGTTTCGTCGTTGTTGACACCCAATTTTGGCCCTCCACAATATGTATTGATCATCGAGCTTTTTCAATTTCAAACGATTTGAAATAATTAGCTTTTAATAAAAGTTGCAATGTATTTCAAGTTTAAAAAAAATAAATATATAGTTTTGTCACTATTTTTAAATTTTCAAATAATACACATATTTTATAAAATTATATTTAGTACATTTTATGGGTATTCAAAAATCATCTAAAAAAAATAATAACAATTTAGTTTTTCCTAAATATTTGGTTA